TTGAAATGGCAAAGAAAGATTATTTTATAGGAACAAACTAATAGCAAACCCTTCTGCTCCACTATTGCACAGGTAATATGAAGCATAAGTACAGTTTGAGCCCCAGGCGTGTATAGCTATACCGGGAGACAGCCATATACTGCTTGACAAGCTGTGGAAGATGGCTAAAGCCGTGTTGTGTCTTTTCTGGTAATTTTGGGAAACTCGAGGCTTTGTGGAACAGGATTCTGTCTAATTGTGAAGCATAAACTCAGCGTAAGAGTTTAATATTAGACATTTATGAAAGCAGTTCTTTTTTATAATTGCTCTCTTCTCTGTTAACTTTAGGTTATTAAAGATAATCTGTGGCTTCAAAAAGAGATGGGATGTCTCGGAATGCCAGGTATGTAACTGTTTTCTCTCTTTTCAGTTATGTGGGAGTCCCCAGACTCCCAGGGCATGGGTGTGAAGGTGGGCAAGGGACTTGAGCTGTGCCCTGGTGACCCGCTGTCGTTGGTGGGACTCTTGATCCTGGGCCACAGGGGAGTGTTTGCTCAGAAGTGAGGAACAAGTGTGCTCTAGGTTCCCTATAAATCTCATCTAGAATGGGACCCCTGTGAGAAGACCTTAGTTCATACCCTGCTATGAATCATTTTCAGGAGGAGCCCTATTTCCTCATTAAACATAATGACTTAAGGGGGCACCCTCTGATGCCCAGCATTCCCAGTGTTGTGGAAACCCCATACTACTTAAAGCTGATCAAGACCTTGTTGCTTTTCAGACACTAACTTAACCTTTACGCATTTACTAACACGGTTGCAATACCTACTCTTGAAGCTATTTTCAAAGACCTCTGCAATTACAATAACTAATATACTTTGTCCTGGACCAAGTTGTCAAAGACTCAGAGATGTAGGGGGACTGGAAGTGTTGCTGGGATGCTAATACTCTTTACAGCGGGTATCAAGTATACTTGTCGCTGATCTCAGATACACCGAGCGTCTCCAGTGGTAGTTGCCTTATCTGGTTGAAATAGGATACCCTGATACTTAGAGAAGTCCCTTATAGTTTGGAGGAGCTGCATCTGAGGGCTGACTGCCAGAGGGTCTTTGCATACATTTGAACAAATCACTTGGTTTCTCTGCGTCTCTGGTCTTCATTTTCTTTATATGTGTATAATAAATAGTGTGCTGCCTCACGGAAGGGTAGTGGAGATGAGTACCCTGAAAGGTTACGACATCCTCATGCAAGCACATTAACAGGAGCAATGCAGTGTCTGAAATAGACTCCCCCCATGGCTGTGGTTCCCCAAGAGATGATTTCATGACATGCATTTGCCAAGAAATTACACGCTCTGAAGCAGTCATCTAATTTCTTTGCACTGTGCCATGGCTAATTGACAAATGGGTTTATTAATTTAAATATGAAAGCAAATAGTTCAGATTTGCTGAGCTTCCTTGCTTTTTTCCTGTATTTATTCAATGTCATCTTTGCTGCTCGCATCTTGCTTTCTGATGGGTTGCAAATTACCGTCCACTGAGAGAGGAAATGCGTGCAGTTTTGTAGTTTAGAAGAACCTTCTGTCAGTAAAGAAAAAGTAGGGCAATTGAAAGATTTTGACACACAGTATCTTTTTGTTAGTGGTTCAAAATAGTGTGGCCAGCAGGAGTAGGGAAGTGATCATCCCCCTGTACTCAGCCCTGGTGAGGCCACACCTCGAATGCTGTATTCAGTTTTGGGCCTATCACTACAAGAAGGACATTGAGGTGCTGGAGCGTGTGCAGAGGAGAGCGATGAAGCTGGTGAGGGGTCTGGAGCACAAGTCTGATGGGGAGTGGCTGAGGGGTCTGGGGTTGTTTAGTCTGGAGAAGAGGAGGCTGAGGGGAGGCTTTATTGCCTCTGCAAGTGCCTGACAGGAGGGGGTAGTGAGGTGGGGGTCAGTCCCTTTACCCAAGTAACAAGCAATAGGATGAGGGGAAATGGCCTCAAGTTGTGCCAGGGGAGGGTTAGATTGGATATTAGGAAAAATTTCTTCACAGAAAGGGTTGTCAGGCACTGTAACGGGCTGCCCAGGGAGGTGGTTGAGTCCCCATCCCTGGACGTATTTAAGAGATATGTAGACATGGTGCTTAGGGGCATGGTTTAGTGTTGGACTTGGCACTGTTAGGTTAACAGTTGGACTCTATGATCTTAAAGGTCTTTTCCAACCTAAATGATTCTATGATTCTATGAAGTGCTGCCATTTTGTTAGTAGGTAAATGTATGTGTTAAATGAGGGGCTGCTACAAGCACTGAATTGTACGCTTGATTTTATAACTGAGAATTGTCCCATTCTAATAAATAGTAATTTTCAACATATTTAAAGCTAAGTTCTTTGGGGTTTGCTTAATCAAGGTACTAGGCTCTTTATTTCTTACTGAAGAAGTTCTCAAAGTAGCAAGATGGGAACTTCTGCATAAAACCTTTGTCACTGAAAATGGCCGTGTGAAACGGTTTGTGGCAGCACACTTGCCTCAGGGTTTTTGTTGGAAGCTTTTTCAAATTGTTTCTGAATAAGATGAGAGAAGGCAATCCCAGAATAGCCCTGTGATTGGGGAACACAATGGATTTTTGAGTTATATTTGAGTCTGCTCTGACTTACTCAAAAGAGGCCTGTAAAGTAGATTTGTTTTGTCTTGTTGATGCCCATAGTTTCTTTGACTTTGTAACTTGTAAAGCTAATGACAACATTCAAAACTGAAATACAGTAAATTACTACCTTTGCCTGTTCATTGTTGTGTGTAATTGAAAGGACTTCAAATTGGATCTTGTATCCTGGATGGTTTTCAGGATGGGGAATAATTCAGAACAACAACAACAACAATACAGTAACCAAGTATATTTAACTCTTTTCTTCCCCATGGAAATAAAACAAGATTATTCAAAGCTTTGCTGATAAATTCTGGGAGAAAACAAATCAGACTGCAGATGTGGGACTTGAAATATGCAGCCCTCAAGAGCTAAGAATTAGAATGACTGTCTTAGTTAAATTGGTTTTTTTTCCTCTCAGTTTCAGGTAATTTTTAATTCTGAACTTGACATTTGACAGACTTGTCAGAGTCTTCACTTTCCTATTGTAATTTGTCAGGTTAGGATGTGTTGTAGGGGCATGGGAGCCTTAAGGACATACCGGAGTCTTGCCTGCAAACGTATTGTAAGGCTAGTTTAATTTTGTGTCATCCTATTTAATTGCTGTGGCGAAGAATAACCTTCACCTTAACATGTATCAAGAACAAGTAAGGCACTATAGTGTTATACCTGCCCTTCTAATGGCGGTCCATCTGTGCCACTAACATGGTCAGCACTCGGCCAGATCAGTCCAGTGGTAAAGGCCTGTGCTTTGGCACTGAAGGTCCCTGCTGTTACGCGGAATTGTTACCAGAGGACAATACACTGATCACAAAGAGAGGACAGTTTCTTTTCTTAGATACCCATCCTTCCACTCTCAGCCTGTGTGAACACAGACCCACTCTCGCCACAGTCTCCACATGGTAGGTGCGTTTTGTACCAGGTCGGATCCTCTCTGTATTTGCACACCCTGAGCAGCGAGTGAACGCAGTGAGAGCAGGGAGTGGGGAGCTCTCCGTCCCCAGCGTATGGCGTGTGCCTTGAGCCTGGCTGCTGGAGGTCCAAAAGAGCAAAAGAGCACCACCCAAAGCAATAGTGCACAAAGCTGAGGAGTGGCAAATGGCTACCTGGGGAGAAGAGCAAAGAAAATTGAACAGCATTAAGTAGGGGAGACTGTTCTGATCAACTGTGCATTTGTCATTTCGTATTGCTGTGGTGCTGTACATATGTGGGACTGAGTGAATGCTATAGCAATGTGAGATGTAACATGTTACACTGATCTGCCAGCTGTTTCAGCCATATTAATAATATATAGCTATATTAATATTATATAACATTTCTTGTTTTCATTTTGTAATTCAATACAGAATCGACCTACCAGCACTGGTAATTAGCTAGGAATATGCAGTTTAAGACAGGGTTCTCGCATATCTGTTTATATTGGGTTTATGGAGGATTAAATAATGGGAAAACATTTTAGTAACGTGCTACTTAAAAGTAAGATAAAATATTTAACAACTTGATAACACGCTGTAAAAATGTGGAATGTTTAATTAAGGAAAACAAAGAAAATTTCCTCTTAAAGATGGTGATACTGTCTCACATCTCAAAAGAAAGCGAAATCACTGCCTTTCTTTGATGAACTGTTTCACTTGGCATCTTTGGAGATGTTTGCAGGAAAGCCCCAGATTAAGCCTCATGCTCTGCTGGTTTGCTTGCTGGGAAATGTTTTGGCCTGGGGCGTTGTACGCTCCAGGAGTGCCTGGTGTCGGCCTGGCAAGCCCAGCTGAGAGGGGGTTGTTTGGGCTGTGTGTAAGAACAGTAAAATGGTAAAAACCATTCCCCTGCTTTGCAAAGTTTCCCTTTTGAAAAGGAGTGGGAATAATTTCCAATTAGAAACTAATGGAAGTGAAGACCATGCAGCTTTGATAATGGCTTTTCTGAAAACAGCCAGAAAAATGGCGGAGATTGAAGCTGTAAGAAGAAAAGAGAGTGGAAGGAACGAGGAGCCCACAGAGTCAGTGTAAGAATTGGGATGCACCTCTGAAGGGGCACTGACAATGGTGTGCTCGCACTTCTGAGCAGCAGGGTATCCGAAAGAAAGCTCGATGTTTGTTAGTGAAAGGCCTCAGGAGTCAAGTATTAGTATTTTCCAACCTCAGATGAATCTATTTGTTAAAAGAAAACCCAATTTCATAATGGAAATCTAGAATAGATGTGAATACCGCAGAATGTGTTATGTCTGTACCATCCTTTCTGAGGTACACAGTGTGCAGCTTTTCAAGCAATCAACCACCTATAATCCATCTAGGACCATACCTGAAAAGAAACAGCAGGTGAATTGATAAATACAATTATGTTGTCTTGATGTTAAGAGTATGCAGCAATTTATGTGGAAAAGCAGTTGTGTTCTTGTAGGTCAGCCAGACCAAGCTGTGTAATGTTCTAGTGACAAATATATGTGGATCAGGGAAAAGTTATTTAACTGACAGTTGATACTACAAAAAAAAATGAGAGAGAAAAGTGCTGCTTTACTGGCAAGGCAAACCAGCTATTATAAAACAGCCTATATTGTTAAAAATTAATAGTAAAGATGAGAAAAAATCTGGAGGAAGGCAGTGGCACATGTTGCTGTACAGACATGTGTCACACTGGTCTGTTTAAGCAAAACCTTCCACTGAGTGCTGGGAAGATACAAGTGAATTTGCAGAAGTATCCTTGTAATCATCAACGTTGAGGCTGCTTAACATAATGTCAAGAACCTGCAAAATCCCCAACCTCCAATTACCAATGATGGAGCAGCCCAATAACATGCCTGAAGACTTCTGCTGGGAGCCGGGCACGTTATCTTGGGATTTTAAGTGATGACAAAGCACAGCTTGAAAACAGACTCATCTGTGTCATTAGTAATGCAGAGATTTATTCAGAGTCAAATAACATGATCAGTTAATTGGGGGAGTATCAGGATTTGCTGTCACATGAGAAGTGCAGTTGAGTGTGCTGATGGGGATGTCAGGCTGCACAGGGCACCAGAACAAAAGATATTTTATAAAACAATTACCCCTCTCTTGTTGGCTGATCTCCCTCATCCAAAATACAAAAGGAAATGATCAGCTAAATAAGAAGCACTTTCAAGGCAGTAGTTGCTCCACCCAGCTCATACATTTTGCCATTTTGACTTCTGTCTCTTACAAAGCTCTACAAAGAAGCTCCATGTCTTCAGGCAGGCTTTCTGTTTACTATAAAGTGCATCTCCTGCAGTCTGGCAAGAAAACTAAAAGGAGATTGGGTGCTCCACCTCCACAGGAACGGGGTGGCAATTGCATTACTACATGAGAGACACAGTAAATATAAAATTAATCTTATTCAATGTTCTTGAAACACAGATGTGCCATGCATGGCTACCCTGAAAAAATTCTAACCCCAAAGTTATGCAGACATTTGGTATTGTAATTATACATATTACTGTTCTAGCCAAGTTTACCTTGTTGTTTTTACGGTCCCTAAATTAGTCTGAGTCTGTTGCATTGTATAACAGTGGTTTAAGTATTTAAGTAAAATGTAAAGAAGTGAATTAGAACTGACAGTAAAATATAAACAACTAGCTTTTCCTGTCCCATATATCCACAGTTTTGTCCAATATAAACTACTCCCTCGCAGATAAAAAGCATGGGAAGACAGTGAAGCTCCGCAAGGTACACGTCCATCTGCGTTCTGTAAGCAGCAGGACTACCTCTCCTTCATTATGTTAACAGAAATCTTTTCAGTGATTCATGTGCATCAGTGCTTCAGGGCCCTTTCCAGGACCTCCTTTTAAAGGGTCCAATTCTGAATGCTCTGTGCGTGTCTTTTCTATTTATATCTAACAGTATTTCTCTATATTGTTCTTCCAACAAAGCAGTGTCTTTTAAAAAAAAAATGCTGCTTCTCGTGTCAATGAGATTTTAGTATCTTCAGCTTTTCATACTTCATTAACCTGTAATAGGTTTCTTAAAAATTAAGACTTTATAGAAAAATGCCATTTGCTAAAAATCTTTGCTTTTTAATGAGAGGTTTTGTTCTTATGAATATACATTGCTAATGATTAAAATATGGGATTTAAAAATAAGTAATAAATGAGAACTATTATGTAAAGAACGAAAAAAGTATCTTCTTTAAACAGACAGCCAGCTATCATTTTGAAATTTTCGTTACATTTTTTTATTTCATTCGGCAGCTTTACCTTTTGACAATTTAGTATATTAAATTATTGATTTTTAGTATAAGCTCCTTTTATTAATGTCACAGGTGCTTTTACTTTAGTAGATGAAAGTGATACGATTTCAAAACTGTTCTTGTAATTTTGTGTGATATCATGGACCAATCTTTCATAAAAATATAAGAGTATAAGCTAGCATTTATGTTGCTAATTACTAAATTGAGGAGTGTTTGATTTGATGGCACTCCAATTCAGCTGAAATGTAACCGAGACCCTTACTCAACTGAGAAGTACTTTTATTCTGAATACGTATTGACATGGTTAATGGTTAATTGGCAGACTGTATCTCTGAAGAAGAACACCCTTAGCACTGAGGCCACTCATAGTAGAGTGCTTCAATTATTTATGCTTTGCTGAAAATTTGTGTTGAAAATATTACCAGTTGATTTAAGGCTGAAACCTTTTAATTCATGCATTAGATGCTTTACATTTAAATGGCAATAAGTTTTCTGTGGGGTATGTGTGAGTTCCCTAGGTAGGAAAATTTTGTTCTAACTCCTGCTAGGTTTTGTGGGGCAAATCCCATCTCTGTTTCCTGTCTGGCCTCATGTCTCTGTTACCTATACTGATTTTAAGTGCTTAGAGGGAGAGCATGCTGGTTGCTGTATGCACACAGAGCACCACGTACCACGAACCCCATCCCTAGCTGGAGTCTGCACCAAGCTGCTGCCGCACAGGAGCCAGCTCTAGCTCTAACGCAGAGTGTTGCCTTGGCTTTCAGCAATGCCCGTATCTCTGGTCATTCAAGCAAACGAAGCCCCTCACCGGCTCTTGACTTCTGCAGCCTCAGACGATCAGTGGAGCCATTCGCTGTTTGCTTTGATACCCTCATGGACAAAGAAGATTTTGTTCAAACGAGAGTCTTCTGTTAACCACCAGCTGGTCAGTAAAAGATAGTTTGCCACTTTTAATATTTGTAAGGATTGTAGCAATTATATCAAAAGTGAACATTGCTGGGAATTTACTACCCAATTAGTATATTTCTAATTCTGTCTTAGGTGATTATGTTCACTTGAGATAGCTTCAGCAACACCAACTAGTTGTGAGACTTCCAAAGAAATACTGTGACAGATACAACTATGTGATTGCTGCGTAAATTCTGATAGACACTTAGTAAAGAAATGGATCTGTATAGTCTGATGAACTTTGTGCATACTGTATTTTGTTAGGGAATTGTGATAGCCAAAAGATTAATATATCAATTAAGATCTTAGTAATTACTTGTGGGAATAAGTAGCTAATATAAATTTGGACTAGAAAAAAATATTAACTATTGGGATAACAAAGCTCTTAAATTTGAAGGTGATTAATACCTCTACATTTTTTTTCTCATTTCATTATTTACATAATTTAAGTTGTGCTGCAGTTTGTGAATTATGATATTTTCATACACTATGTAGACTTTTCCCCTTCCTCCACAGCCTGAAGATGTATCAAATACGTCAGTGTCTTCTGGATTTGGAATAATCCTTCAGAAATGTGGTGTGGTAAGTTTTCTTACATTTGTCTTGTTAATTTGGTAGGAAATTTGTACCCAAATGTCCTTTAAAAAGTGGAACAGAATTGTGCCCATGCTGAGTATTTGGGAGAATGTCCATTTTGATGTTAAGATGGTTGCATCCTCTGTAAGAGGCACAGTTGTGCAATGTTGATTCAAAACTGAAGGAAGTCAGTGAAATCTTCTCTCAGACTTCAGGGGATTCTACATTGTGGTCAAGGTAAATATCTCAGTGTGAATTTGTTAAACTATAAATGGGCAAAGCCCAGTGAACTTTGGAAATCAGCCTCGGGGCTGGGCAGAGATAGAGACAAACTTCTGAGGCGCTCTCCTGGCTCAGCCATGGGTGCCCTACCTGTGTCAAGTATGGACTCCTTTCAAAGGATGGGGCACTGAGCCCCATGATGCCCATTGTGTCTTTGGGCATCCCATCACACAGCCATAGAAAAGCCAGTGTGTCATAGTCTGCATATTCAGTGGGACTCAGCTGTAGCACAGTATTTAATGAAAAAAATGTTTCATTGACTTGTGTAAAATGCTTATAATGAGCAAAGACCTCCCTTCTAAAGGAAATTTTAAACCTTCCATTTTATTTTTACTTTATGTGGCACAGATTGGTAGATTTACCTAGACTGTTATTTTTTTCTTTCTTTTTTTTCCCTGCTTTTTTTTTTTGTCTTTTTACACTGGATGAAGCAAGTCTGAATTTTTATAATTAGAGGCAGTTCATCTTACCTGCCCCTTGGAGAGAGAAAGCACATGCAACTTTAAGACAAATCTGAATTCAGCCACTGAAGTGCTGCATACGAGGGTAGAGGACTCAGTAACCAGTACATAAGAGGTGACATTATAACCTGCACCAGATCATTTGCATAGAGAAGAATGAATATGCATCACATCTCATAGCACTAATTACCTGTTGTTATTGAAATGGCGGCATATCATAATTAATGAGGCTGAATAGTGAGTATTTCAGACATAAGCAGTAACACAGAATCTTCTGTTTTTCCAGCTGTAGATTCCCAATTTTTATGTCAGAGCCTCTCGGAAAGAGAGTTTGAGACAGTTACATCGTGTTTTATTCTGCTCTTTATAGCACAGTCTCACACAGCCTCATTAAAAATTGTGAAATCCTGCTGTGCAAGATCAAACTTAATCTGTTATAGATGCTAGAATTATCAGAAAATAATTTTTCAGTGCTATTAGTTGTAAATTACTGAAAACTATGCAATTGTATGTGATTGTCTTTCACCTTCAAATGCGGTTCACATTTTATTTTCCTTTGGTTACCTTGTCATCTTCTTCAGTCCTAATTCGTCTGAACAGATGCTTTCCTGCTAAGAGGCAGACTGGCCATATGGTGGTCTTTAACTGTTTTAAATGGAAAAAAGTGAATTTTGCACATTTGCCTCCTCCTCCCATGAGTGGCTCCTGAGAGCATGGAAATGACATATGTATACTTCTTGGAATCAGGATTTTTCCACCACCTTATTGCACAAATACCCTTACTGAACCTGGGGTGTTTAAATTTTACCTATGCTTCCAGCACCTAGTCCCTTCCTTCTTCCCAGAAATGTGTTCCTTTAAGAGCTTCATTCCATAGTATGGCATGAACTTTTCTGTAATAGCACTTCATAATGACAGTAATCTTTAGCAGAACTGAAGTAAATCTTTAAATTTGACTGTTAAGTTTTTAACACGTTTACCTGTCTCACTTCTCAATCTCCTAAGCATTCTAGCATTGCAGATAATTTATGATTCTATGATCCTTCTTTTTTTTTTTTTTCTTCCTTTCCTCTTTCTAGTTGTTCTAACTTATTCCCAAGGACCCTCTGTTCCTTTCACTTCCATGGCAATTCCTTCCTCCTCTCTTTTCTCCTAGCATGTGCCGGCTCTTGCTGTGGTTCTTTCCCTCCACTCTCCCAGGTGCCTGAAGTGACTTTGCTGTGCTGCAGCAGCAGAGAGAAAATGGGGTACGGTTTGCTTGCAGGGGGTGATGATGCACACACTGTGCTGCAGCAGCAGAGAGAAAATGGGGTACGCACTTATGCATCATCAGTGGCTGCTATTGGGTTCGGTTCCTGTAGATGATTGGCAGCATAATCTGCTCCAAAAGCAAGAAAAAACATTTGTCAGGCAAATAAGAGGAGCAAGTTATATCCAGTGGCCACTGATCCTAAGGTTCGGGGAGAGGTCAAACCCAAGGGCTACTCATCTGCTGCTTTCTCCAGTGCTATCAGGAAAAAAAAAATCCGAATTCTTTCAACCCCTTTGCAATTTAGCTTAAAATTGACTGCCAGTCAAAAATAAAGAATGCAAAATATGTATTTAATATTAATCAGAGATGCATCAATTGTGGCCTCTTGGTTGCCTGTGGAAGGTTGTGGTAGGAGATAGGTGGTACAGTTGGGATACCTCTGAAGGGTTGCTTTGTTTAGGCACTGAATTAAGAATTTTATTAAATGAAAAAAAAATGAAAAGAAAGTGCAAAATTGGTTGGAGAAAGAGAATGAACAGTGTGTGGGAGTGTGCCTCAGACCTCCTGCCTAGGGGAAGGAGAGGACTGATGCTGCCATATTCCCCCACCTGCCTGTGAATATACAGATGCTACTTTCGCTGCCTATTTTATTCTAGGAATTTATCTAAATTACTGTTTATATCCCCTCTCCAAATGTAAAGCAATATATTTGTACCTGATTAGAAGCACAAGAAGAAACCCTGAAATCCTCATTTTTTGCCTTCATCTCACAGAAGAACAAGGGAATGGTATGGGTAAATGAAGGGAGGAAAAAGGTTTTTTATTTCCTTCTGTTTCCCCAGCTCCTTCTTTTGCTGGTGCATACATGTTTCTCTGCACAAGTCCATCCACACTGTGGAGCATAATACAGTATTAACAACTCCTGTAGTTTGAATCTTGAACCTTTCAAGGTGTGTTTTCTTGTTTTGGTGATTCAGTCAGGGTCTCTGCTTTGTGGCTTTGGGATTTCCTCTATGTGGCTTTGAGGCGTCTCCTTTTTTGCTTCATTTGTGCTTTTTAAAGCAAGTTTCTCACCTTTGTGACTGCACAGGAAAGGTTGAAAAGCATATTGTCTGCATCATGCCAGTTCAGAAATCAGGAGAGAGAAAAGCTGCCCAAAATATATCACATGTTTAGTATTTGGTGATTTTAAGTCTCATAAATGTTGGGGTATAATTCGTGATATACAAACATATGGAATTGGTAATGCTTTCGTCACAAATATAATTAAGACTATTTTTGTATGTGCTAACGGTTATTTGCAGAATCTAGTACAATAAACAGTTAGGGTTTTTTCCTCCATAAGATTTGTTTAGTACAATTGAGGTTGAACTTGTAATGAGTTCAGAAAATTTGGTGTAGTATACCAAGGAGAGTTAGTTATACAAACAGATTTAATCAAATGTACTTTAATCATTGTCACTTAAATAGAAAAATGCAAGCTGAGGAATAAGTATTTCAATAAACTGTTTCTTCTCCTTGATCCATAAGGTATCTTAAAACTGTAATCTGTTTCTATACTGAATTCGTAGGAAATGCAGGGATCAGTGGTGCACAATGAAATCATAACTACATACGTTGAGCCCTGTGGCTGCCATGAACTCTGCTGTGATTTCTGAAGTCTATTGCAATTCATATTTTTAGAACTCATTTCTGTGGGGCTGCTTTATTATTTATGTTTGCTGGTGTCCAGGTACAGAGTAGACATTTCCTAAAAATGAGGAGGAAAAAAGAGAAAGGCTCGGCCTGAATCATACTTTGGTCAGTTAAATAAGTGTTAATTTGGTGTCATCATTAGAAGCCCGATACAGCATCATGGCTATAATACAGGCCAACATATTATAGACCTGATAAAGTTTTAGACAGTTCTGGTTTAATATGAGTTACAGGGGAAGGCAGTTTGCAAGGTGAGAGGTCAGTAAGCAACTCTGTGCTCAAAGTAATTTCATTTAGAGGGTATCATTACTCAATAAGAGTTAACAGCCTAATGGAATAAATAAATAAAATCATGTGAGTGCATGTTGCTAGAGATTGGTGATTATCTTATGAACCTCACCACTAATTGGCAGCAGAGGTGTGAAGTCCAAGTCCACTGGTAGCTCCCTCAGTGCTCCCATAGGAAGGGCAAATCAAGGCAGCTGGCACCCTTTTGAGAGTGTGGTTGCCGTGAAAAAAAGAGAAATAGAGACCAAAACTGCATGGAGAGAATGAATTTGCAGCAAGGGCAGCTTGCAAAAGAAACATCCTTGTGGTACAGAAGTTCAAAGTTAAGAATTTTCCAGACTTGCCAGTTAGGAAGTTATGATCCAGTTCTGTGTTGTATGAGGCATCATGGGGATATTCAGATTTTTGTTTTTGCGTCTGGCTCTGCATGAGCTGGGTTTCTGACTTCTGGCTTTCTGTCCCTTTGTCTCCAAGCAACAGCTTGACGTACCAAAGATCAAAATCTCCTTGGGAGTTTGAGATCAAACTGAGTGTGGTGCCATTTGCAGGTCACACAGGATGCCTTCAGAAAATAAGTTTACACATTTAATGAACTTTTATTAGTAATAAAGATGATGAATTTTGCTGTTAAGATGCATATACAGCCATTTTTCACCATTAATACTAATATTTTTGTTTTCAGGTGGATGTTGAACATGACCCTCAAACTGCATACATTACACTTCTGATTAATAACACCAACACGCTGCTCTCAACAAACATTACAGATCTTATCCTCCTGGACAACATCACTGGTCTACGTGTTCAAAAAAACAGTGGTAATAAGAGCACAGATGGCATACAGATTTACAGGAAAAGATTCTTGCAAGGTAACAAAATCTGCAGGGAAGTAACCCTGCTTACGCATGTGGAAGAGCATCTGTTCAAATCACAGTAGTTATTTATTTATTTTTGGTGGTGTAAATTCTCCAATTATCAGTTAATACAGGTGAAAAACTCTGGGAAAGGTTTTGTGCTGCAGTTTACAATTCTATTAGCTCACATTTTGACTCCCACCTTTGAACTGCTTCTGATCTCTGAGGCACAGAAGTGAGCCCCTGTACTCTGTAAAAGTCGCCGCCGTCAAAATGAAACAGAATCTTTCATGATGGAATTTGTTCATTCTGGATGTTTCTAAAAGCTGCTGCACAAGCCATTTTAATCATATGTGACGAGTCTTCCTTCTTTAGCCAAGCGTGGCAGATTGGCTTGCTGGGGTATTGAGGTGCATTGGAATTGCAGAAGGCCATGCTAGCAGGCAGGGTGATTCATCAGAAATAAGGCAGCTCTTCTCAGCATCCATTCTCCCCAAACTGAGCAAATTATAAAATCAGTCAGTTCCTTTGGTAGAAATTGGATCACTGCTTATTCATAAAATTCTACATTTCTTGATTCCTTCATCTCCATTTTCTGAAGCATGAGCACATAGAAAATAAGCAGTTCGCTTTTGAGAGTCATGATGTTTCTCCTGAAGCTTCAGAAGTGTTCGGTGATACCTGTTTATGGTTGAAGTATCTAGGATTATAATAGTGTTTTACTGGTGAAAGATTTCCAAATAGGAAAGGAAAATAAGTAGACCTGGGGCTGCTGTCTGATTGCAAATGGATAACCAGACTCCATTTCTAATAACAGCAGTGTGAGTAGTGGTACTGATTACAGGGCTGGTTTTTTTGAAAATGTCCAGGAATTGCTGGCTCTCAACAGAGATTCCTAAGAAAGAATGATCCCTGAGAAAGAATAGAAAAATGGTTTGCAGAGCTGATCTAGTAAATCAAGTTGGAGCAATTATTTATTTACAGTTACTGAATCTGGAACTGAAACTAGCTTTTCTAGCCCATACACGTTGCACAAATCAGCATGAAGAATACTGAAGTGGAAGAAAATCCAGCAGAACAGATTTCTGCGTAGGTTAAGGTTTGGTCATTACCATGTCAGTCCTGGGGCCAGCCCATACCTTCCCACTAGGACTGGACAGAAAGGCTATGCCTACACTGGCGTATGTACTGTCATGCTGCATGTTAGCCATAATAATTTTTCAGTGCTCCAGTGCACTGTGAATCAAAATTCAGCTGAAATCTCAGAATTCTCTTTAGTTTCAGTGGGAGGAGAACCAACCAGCTAGTGTTTAGAATGTAGGCTGTCCATTTTATAAAAAACCATATTTTTAAATATTTCATCTTGAGTTTTGGTATCAGCCAAAACATGATGCTTTACAGCAGCTTCAGTCACCATTTAATGCAGTTTCCAGACCCTGGGCCAAATTTGGTTAAGTTGTCAGAGGCAGCAGATACAAAGGATGTTGCTGGGCTCATGTGGTGAGGAACTGTCTGCTCTGGATGTGGGGCATCTTCTTTGTCAGAAGGGAAAATCTCCAGTGCTGTCCAAGCTTTCCCCAGGGATCTTTGAAAAATTTTCCTGGCACAGAGCAAATCTATCCGTACCCCTCCTCTCTGGACTATGCTGGTAGGCTCTGTCTGCCTACTCTGCTGAATTCCCTTGAAGTCAGTGTTGTGAGTTTACTGCAGCTTGGCTCCTAGGAGAGCACTTTTGCTGGTGAGGAAGCACAGTCTAGAGGGAAACCTAAAAAGCTCCTCAGATGTTTTATTCATATTGAACTTGCTTTTCAAATATTGCAACCATCTGTAACTGCTGCTGAGCTCAGCTGGGTGCTCAACTCTTCAGAGATTCACACCCAGTCTTCTTGTGTAAAAAGTGATGGGTAACTGTAGTGGATTGTTTTCAAGTCAGTGTAGCTACTGTTCTGTTTAAGAAAATGCAGACGTGATTACTTAGAAGCCACTATTGCACTGGCAGATGCACCTCACCTGCCTAACCTACAGAATTCAGGGTTTTTTTCTCTGTTTTAACAGGTGGAGAACACTTTGCAATCAACTACCCTGCACTTCTTGATGCAAAAGAAATGTGGGATGGCAGGGTCTTGACATTGCCTGTGAAGCTAACTTTCAGGACTTCATCACAGGTATTTCCTTTACAATTTTATTTTGCGCTTCACAATTTTTGTAAACACAAAGTCTCCAAGGTGGTTGTTGTCTGCCTAAGAAATGAGGCCTGCATGTAATGAAATGAAGTTCTTAGGCTGTCTGGTTGTTTACCATGAATTTATAAATAATGAGTTATTCTTCATAGCTCAGGAAGTCCTAGACCTCCTTAAATAGGTGAAGTATGTTTGTGTGTTGTCCTGTAGCTTTTCTCTGTACTTTTTGTATTTTTCTCCAGTTTATCTATGTATCCTGGAAATAATGGTGTTCCACATACTTATTTGTGTATTCCTGTAGTCTGTGAGAGATTGAAAGTTTTGCCATATTTTTATCACAAAATAATTTCTTTTAACCAAAAAAATAGTTGCAGCAAAGGAAAAACCTCCGTGCTCATAAGGAAGACACTTTTTTAGTGTGAGAGCTATGAAGCTTTGAAAGAGATTTTTTCAGAAAAGCTGAGGAATCTTCATCCTTGCTAATTTTTGAGAACTCAGTTGCACCAGGCTCTGAGACAACTGGACTACTGGAGTTAGCCTGGCTTTGAGTAGGAGGCAGGACAAGTAGTTTCTTCCAAAGTAAAATTTTCCAATTCTTAAATAAGGCTTGATATTTTTTCTGTGGTTTTCGTAATTGCATGTAATTTGAACCTGCAGATGTATTTTCATTTCAGCTGCTGTATCTCCTTTGGTTTAGAGGAAAAAATGTTCCATGTGCATGAGAGTGGTACTGGAGTGGTAGAGCAAGACTTCAAAAAACAGGGAAATGTAAGAGTAGAGACATATGCACCGACTGTGGCTCCTGTTCTGTGCATTTTCAGTCAAACCAGATTTTACAGGCGCGGCAAAATGTAATTCTGTGAGCACCAGAGTATGCCTCGCTGATTAGAAGGGCAGTGTATCCCACAGAGCAGCTGCTTCCACGTCTGTTAGTGTTACCACTAAGTACACTGCATTTTCTTATCACATTTATTTCAGCTTTAAGCTTAATGAGGAGTATAGCTTATCTTCTAAGGAGAGGCTTTTCTAGAGAGGCTGGGCTGTTTGCCAGTGGATTCTGCTCATTTTTTTAATGCATGTAATATTTTTATATCTCTCTCAGAATAAAACACATCTCGTATCATTGACAGCATCATTCACCATAACTGAAGAAGAAAAGACCAAGGTAAATTCTACAGTTTGGTATTATGTTGAGTCTCCTGCTTAAACTTATGGACAATCTAAACTAAATCCTAGAGCTAAGGATATACTCACGTACTTATCACTCGGCTATTGGCTATTCATCATACACAAGTTCCGCCTTCTCTGATTCTAAGAGGAAAAAAACAAGAGTCAAGATAGGGGGTCTTTGCTGTCTTAAATCAGCAGCATTTAGTATGGAAAATGTACAAACTTCCATTATATTCCTAGACATGTTTTTTCATTTGAAGAATTGTCTCGGCACAGACAGCTGTGATGAGGAATACACTCACCTGCTCCTGTGCTTAGCCACTTTTAGCTTTTTGCCTTTCCAAAAGGGTGGAGTTACCCTCCATGGATTGAGAAAAGGTTTCTGTATTGTGCTGATACACAGAAAATAGCTGTGTGGGGAGCCTGAGAAATAAAACTGCGGTAAGAGAGGCGTAGTTTATGTTTGCCTTTTGTATTTTAACTAGTCATCCTTCCAGCATGACTGTCTGTTCTTGGCTTCTGAATTAATACGGTTTCTAAGAGTCCAAATAAACCTTCTAAACTACATTGATTGCAGCAAACAGTGTTACTCTTCTAGATAACTTTTTATTAGAGAACTCCCCACTGCATCCATCAGTTTAATTGCTAGAGTAATCTGTTCACCAAACTTGGTTTTCTCCCCCAATCCCTCATTACTTTGACTGGCTGCTGTGTTGCAAGGGGTTTTTCTTTAAGGAGCTGTGGCTTGGTTGGCAAGAACACTATGATTATTTGTGTTCAGGCAGTAGAAAATAGTTTGTTTCACCCCAGAACATTTTTGCCATGGTTGTATCATTTGAAATCTAAAGTTCATGTGGATGGGGCTTGCTTGAAGATGTCCTGAGGATTAGATTGCTCATTCTTTCCATGGGCCTGTCCCATGAGTTCCTCTCCACCTTTAAAATCAGTAATCTATTTGGAGATTGGGCACAGGGGCCTCTTGTTCCAGCAGGTCTATTTTGCTGGGGATCTCTTGCCCTCTTAGCTTCTATTACTGTAATAGATATAAGTCCAGACTTGGCTTTCTTGTAGTTGAAGATCAGCTGCCCATTCTGTTAAAACGAAAGCCAGAATTAAATGTGATATAAAGTAAAACTGCACATGAGCTAGAGAATTCATTGTTCCTGGATAAAGATCTAGTAAGATTTAAAAGGATTGGGCGTTTGTATAGCTAAGAATTATTCTTGGAATTACCATAACTGTATTTTTTGGAAACTCTTACTCTTAAAGGTATAAGCCATGCAGTAGCTGATGGGGTTAGAAAAATAGCTTCATGAATGGTTTTCTGTAGAGTTCGGTGTGAATTGATCTGCAGCAGTTGGTGATGAAGTTACATTCACCTCAACCCACTGTGAAAACTCCTGCAATCTATTACTATACTTAAAACCTTTATAGTGTGGGTTTTTTCCCGACTTTAACTTGATAATTAGACCTCAACAAGTTCTTGGAAACTATTCCATAGTTTGGCGAAATTGGCTCAGCTGCATTTGAACTTGCTAAATCAACAGGTCTTGTAATTAAAATGTGTGGTAAAGGTGTGTGGAGAATACTGTTAATTTTTGAAAAATAAAGCTTAGAAATTATGGAACACATCATGTTTCATATGCATAATATTTGCCTTTGGGCTGTGGCCACGCATAAGGTGTTTCAGAAAGAAATCAATTTGTGCAAGGATATTATGATCAGCTGAACAAGGTGCAATGTATTGTATTTCGTCCATGTCTTCAGCTGTCATAAAAGTTCTCAATCTCAGATTTTATTTATTAAAAATCAATATTTAAAGCTGTTCATGGGTGTGGTAAAGCCAACACACATGTGTGACTAAGTGGATATTAAATGTTGACTTTGGGGACAGAAAAGAGAAGAATTAATTAGGTAGTCATGGCAGTGCCATGCTAAATTGGTCCTGCCAGCTTTCACATGGTTTTCTTGCACAGTTGGCTACTGTGCTGTTCATTAACGTTTTACAAATCATGTGGATGTTCTCTTCTACACCGCTGGAAGAAAGTGCTTGGTTGCCTGTGACAAGGTAATTTTGCGGGTTATGAAAAAATATGAGTGCTGCTCATCTGAGTGTCCATGCTGGATGCCTTCCCACAGTGCTTCAGGGGCTGTGAGTACTGTGTGCCTGTGCCCTCAGCTGGGTGGTTTTGATGCTGAATGGGAAGCTGTAGTGAAAAGGCTGTGTTGTGGTTTAACCCAGCTGGCAACTGAGCACCACGCAGCCGCTCGCTCACTCCCCCCTCCCTCAGTGGGATGGGGGAGAGAATCGGGAAGGAGAAGAAAGGTTAGAGCCGTGGGCTGAGATAGAGACAGTTTAATAAGAGAAAATAATAATAATAGTAATAATGAGAATGGTAACAGAATATACAGAATATACAAAACAAAAGATGCACAATGCACTTGCTCACCACCCGCTGACTGATGCCCAGCCCGTCCCGAGCAGCGATCACTCCCCCCGAGCCACGATCAGTCCCCGAGCAGCGATCACTCTCCCTGCAGCCAACCGACCGACTAAATCCCCCCCCGAGCATGACGTTCTATGGTATGGAATAGCTCTTTGGTCAGTTTGGGTCAGCTGTCCTAGCTGTGTTCCCTCCCAGCTTGTTATGCACCTGGCTGAGCAGGAGAAGCTCAAAAAGTCCTTGAGTAGTCTGAGCACACTTGGCAACAACTAAAACCATCAGTGTGTTATCAACATTCTTGTAGTACTAAATCCAAAACACAGCACTATGCTAGCTTCTATGAAGAAAATTAACTCTATCCCAGCCGAAACCAGGACAGGCTGAAAGTAATTTCTTCCACCTAAGCACATTGCACGGGATAGATGGTAATAATTACTTTGGTCTGGTTTCCACCAGGCTTGCTTCCCTCAGCATCCTTTAAACCAGTGGGAACGCAGCAATTTTTGAAAGAAACTTGGGCCTGTAATGCCTCTTCCCACTATTGGGATGGCTTAAGAAGTTAGCTTAGGATATGGGTTTTGAGGCTCACTGGTGTGCCAGTGATTTGAAGGTCTGCCTGCAGTGCCAACACTGGTCCTGTGCTGTGGCTTGTGCAGGGGCTCTGGTACCTGCCTGCATCACCCACTGTGATGCTTTCAGATGCCATGAGGTGCCTGCTGTGTCCTCCTGCTTGGGTTTACAGCTCCTCGATGACATGGGCTGTCCTTCCAGAACCCATTTTCTCTAGGTATAAAAGCACAGATAATTCCCTGTCTGTTTTTCTCCATTGGAGCTTAAACTCTGACAGAACTGCCTGCCCCGATGCAGGCTGACTGTCTCACCGTAGGTCTCTTGTTTTAGTTAGAAAGCATAGGATCGTTCCCTAGCCAGCACTTTTTCTCTATCAAAACTTAATCAGCTTCATTTCAGCTTCACTGAACCCATACTATCACCAGACTCCTGGTTTCCCCGGAAGCCTAGAGAGATCCCTAAATTTCACAGAGTGCTTGGAAATTAGACAAATGAGAGTGAATTCAGACAAAATGATAAAGTAGTTCCAAAGTAGAATTTTTTTTCCTAAGTATTATCTACAGCATCTCCTGTTCCTTGAAAGAGGTAGGACCTTGCCTTGGTGTGCAGGCCTCAAGGAGAACCCTTCTGTGATTCCCTCTTGTCCACCTAGTACAACCGGAGAAGCTGGGGTCAGCAGATTGACTTCAGAGGAATTGCATTTTTTCCAAGTCACACACAGATGTGTGTTGGCTCTGTGACTGTTCAAGGGGTATGGGCAATACCTTTTGATCTCTGAAGGGAGTAAACACTGGGTTAGAGAAAGGAGTTATTTAATATGTATGTAATCGTCTTCCAAGATGATGGGGTGCTGGTGTATGAAAAGCTGGACATGAGCCGGCAATGTGCGCTGGCGGCCCAGAAGGCCAACCGTACTCTGGGCTGCATCAAAAGCGTGGCCAGCAGGTCGAGGGAGGGGATTCTGCCCCTCTACTCTGCTCTGGTGAGGCCTCACCTGGAGCACTGCGTCCAGCTCTGGAGCCCTCAGCACAAGAAG